GTGGGATGCTGTAATATCAGTCTCACTCACTGTGGATGACAACAGGACGAGGATTAATGGACAGATAGTTTTTTTTATCACAAGTCATTGTCCAGTTTCTTCGTTTGATATCTTTTTCAGTTTAAATTCAGATGGTTTCCACTATCTGTCAGATAAATGCTGAATTAGATGACCAAAACTTGCTCAGGTCAGAAAGGACCACTTCCTCCGCATGTGTCTGCTATTCTCCTGTTCATCTTACCGCATGATTGATTACTTTTGGCATTCGCTTGTCCCCCTTTAGTGCACGCGCGTGAACCGGACACCGGCTGCTGGCCGGTCGGCCGACAAACGACGGACGGAACGACCGATGAGTGAAGGGGAACGCCGTCGAACCAAACTCTCAGCGGCTGAGCCGCGACCTCTGCCGTTTCGCTACCGCCGTCGCTGCAGAAGTAGTATTCGTGTAGTTCTTCCGGTTCTCAATTATTCTTATTGGCTGAGTGTCAGACGAATATTCTGCGTAACCGTCCGTTTTGCTTTGCTTTTAGTTGACCTAAGGCTTGCTGACCACTGGTCACTCGTTATGAATATCATCCCGTCAGAACGCTGCCAGTGCTAATTTTCCCGCCAGTATTTCCTGCTTTCTTGTCGCCTGACCAAATTTTCGATGATCATCACACACTGATTTTTGACCATCGCCGGACAACAATCAACCTCTCCTGTTCTATTTTCTTTCTCTGCTTCCATCGTCCGTCCATCGATCAATCGATCGGTAGTGGCCGCCGGCTCTCTGTCTCACTTCAGCGGCCGCAGCGCCGACTATTTTCCTTGCTGGTTGCCGAGCGGATGCGACAGCGGCGAAGAATAAGAATGTGACCGGGCCGGCTGCTGGCTAGCAGACCGAGCGACCGGCGGCCGGCCGGCCGCTCGGTGACGGTGAAAGATTATCATTGGCTCCAAGATCGATCGATTTGCCTGGCCGACCGACCGACTGGCCATTCGTTTGTGTGCCTGTGTCTGTCCAGTCGTCGTCTTGTCATCGTCTGTCATCGTCGCCATTCAATAAGTGAACAGCAGCAGCAGTCAAAGGCTACTAGTTGCTGTGGCTGGACAATTTTTTTGGTCAAATGCCATTCGGCCTGCTGCTGCCTGCAATTCCGTTTCTCTGGCGACCGATTCTGACGACGACGCTTGTGACGTCACTGATGGTCAGGTAATCACGTGAGGACTTCCGCAGAGTTGGTTGGCGCTTGTGATGCCGCCTTTTTTCTTCTTCACTTCGCGTTGCTCAGCTGCTTCTCTCAGTCTCTTCTTCATGATCTTGTTGTTGTAGCGTTTGTCCGTCCATCCATCAAGCCACATATCGCCTGCCCGCCTTTTAACTGGTCAGCTGCTGCTTTCGATCCCGGTGATTCATGTAAGAGCGATGACGTCAGAGACGGTGGCGGTGGAGGTGGTGGACAGCGGACGGTTTCATGTAGGACATCCGGCGGCTCATCGCCCTTGCCATGTTCGATGATGAAAGACGACGATTCCGACTTGTCGCCTTCGACGAGGACGACGACACAGACGCCGCCGGTTCTTCCAAATACTATGTCCAGACGCAAACAGGAAAAACCGAAGCCAGTGCGCCTTTCCTCACTCTCCGAAGAAGGTAAAAGAGAAATACGATTTTTTTTTCGTTTGCGCCTCTTTCAGGTCATGTTCCTGCTTCGTAACAAGCTCTGTTTTTCTGAACCGATCTTTTCGTCCAGGACCATGCTTTCTGACCTATACCAAACCTCATCATAATCTTACGCTCACTTAAATCGGGCATGCTCTACTAACTGTTGGTAACAGTGACGTAACAGTAATTTTCCTCAGTGCAGCTCGAGACATATTTTCCGCTTTCTGCAAATCGTTGCTTTCTTAGAACAAAATCCTCATCGAGTACAGATTTTTCTCCTTAGCCTTCTTTGAAAATTGAGTTGCATACTCTTATGCAGCACCACCCTATTCTTAGTCTTTATATTTCTGAAGTTCGCTGCGTATGTGTTTCTGTACTTTGTTTATTATATGTCACTTGAAAAAGATTATTTAGTATATGGCCTTTTTAAAGCCTTGTGACGTACTATAAGATTTTTTTGAAAGTATTTCCGTCGTTTTCAGACGTCTATTTTAACGACTTCCATTTTGTGCAATATAATATTAAAACAGCCCGATGTTTTTCTTGAGATACGTTTAAATCGCCACAGCCTCAATTATTCTAAATTTTTTTATTAATAACATCGTAATATCGAAGTCGATATCGTTGAAATCAATGGTAAATAGTACTTTAAATTTTGTAAACTTCTTTTGGATGAACTCAATACATGTGAACAACAGTCTTGGGCTCAGTACTTACATCCCTCCGTACCGCTGGCAGTCTCTCCATCGTTCTTTCACGATTTATACACTGCCTCGTAGCAAGATGGTAAACTCTATTACGGTTCGTCCTTCGACATGACGGAGATGAGATTTTGAGAACTGAACTGATAATTAGGCATTTTCGCTATTATCGACTTTAACAGATACCTACTCGAGGTGGGTCTGTAAGGCGGAACAGAACCATGATGTGAGGATCGACTGACAGTCGACATTGATTTTATTTCCTGATGCTCACCGATCCTGACGATGACAGTCCAAATGTTGGAAATCCATTAAATAACGGTTTTTTGTTTCTTCTTTCTACTCTGAACTGCGTGGCTTACCATCTTCAGTCGAGATTAAATTTAAGATGATGTAATCTAGATAAAGTCAATAAAACTGTTTCTGTTGTTAATAAATATTTAACTTATTCAGCAAATCTACTCTAACTTTATTTCTGTCAGTTTTTATGCTGAAGTATATGATTATCATGCAGTTGATGCAGTACATTCACAAATTTCGAACGGCGAGCCTATGATAAGCCTTTTCCATGAGCACAAGACTCTCGTTATCTTGTGGAGTGCATTAGTGATTTTTTAAATACAGGTTTTTACTTATTACCCAATGATTGTTACAAAAGTGACTTTTTATATACAACTGTACAGTTGATGATAAAAAGTAGCTAATAAGAAGTTTAAAAGCAACAAAAACGACTTTATTGTACAGTATTATGGATCATGTGATAGATTTATGCCAGTATCTCGGCCTGTATCTCAAGCGTTTTATTCAAGGTGAAGGACGTGGTAGTGTTCAATTGTTTTAAAAGTCGTCTGTTCGGAACCGAAAGGCCAAACGCTTAGGAAGATTTTTGATTCATTGGTTTAAAGCACAAAGTCGATCCGCTGTTAAGAGCCTCTCGTCTGAGCCCACGCTTCAGATTATTTTCACATTCAGTAATTAAGACTTGGCAATAAATCTTTGTGTCTATTGGTCATTGAATCTGAAAAATTTCTTTCTCTGTGATTTTTTATTTCAAACGTTTATTTATCTTATTGATATGAATTACAAATGATAAAATCTCAGGCTCTTCATTTCCTTTAATTGAAATGTTCAGCATGAAGGCTTTGCTTTGTTTTAGAATTTAACGTTTTTTACAAAGGAACATTTCCAACAAGAAAGGAAGGGAAGGAGTTTTGGTCGTTGAGGATTAATTACACTCCTGTACTCGTCGATAATTTATAGCACGCTTATTTTCGTTTCGCTTATGCTCTAACATATCTCAGTAACTGGCTATCGGCTATGAATTCTTTAATTTTTGAAGCTCTTTGCTCGACAACAGACTTCGTAGCCTGTAGTTTCTTGACTTCGTAGCGTTTTGTTTATTTATTTACTTTGGAAGGATGATAGGTTTGCGACTCCTCGGTCCTGCAGTGAA